CAATGGGACAAATGCGTTCCGTAGAAACGATCGGTTAGCGCCCCTCTACCAAAGGGCACATTCTTTACGCTCAGTTAATCCAGTCACTTGGAAGCATTAAATGCCGCCGAGCTGTGGACTTATATAAACTAGATTTTCTGCTGAAAATGTCGTCTCTGCGTGAACTTTAGACGTTTACCTTGACAGTAAGGCTACATTCATAAAAACTGCCACTCGATTCGACAGAACTCCTTTTGTCAAACTTCCCCTCAAACCACACAAACCACCACAGGTCTGGTGACAGCTTGACTGTCGATTTCGACAACGCCTACCATGAGGGTGACTTTCGTGAATTAGTATATAGTCATAGTAGGCCTTCGAGGCATCTACCACACTCTCTCCTTCTTTTCCACCTAGACCCGGTGTCAAGAAGATCAGATGTGGGACAGAGCGCAGGTTGCAGGCGTAACCAGAGCCGCCGCCGGGCATGCTGCCACATCCGGATCTGATCTCACTGAGTGAGCGTTTCATAGAAGCCACATTAAGACAGAGGGACATTGCAGTCTGACTCTCAGTCCGCAATCCACACGAATACACATTTGAGAGAGAGAGAGAGGAATGCTTTATTTTGAAAATAACATTCAAAACTTTCAGCCAACTGCGAGGTCCGAGTTATTCCTTTAAGTACGCAACCTTTCAAGCCACGGCTTTTAACGCACTGAGATAGCTTCAGGCAGGTCAGATTGTTTATAGTGAGGAGGAAAATGCGCTGAGGCGTCGACCTCACTCTCTATTCTCATTCCCAGACCACTATCCGAGCCGGTAAGGTGTCGGGTACGGGGAATCGACGCAGTCTTGTGGCGCCACGCGCACGACTTACACGGAAGGCCTGCATATATCACCTTCTGTGTTCTTGTTACTTCTTTTTATTGAAAGCCTGTCATGACAGGCCCGTCTGCACGGGCCGCGTGGACGACTTGCCCCCCCCCTCCCCTGCCCAAGCGCATACACCAGGATTTTACAAAGGGAGGCTAGAACACTGATTTCACATGCTGCGACAGGGGCACACGGAAAGAGGAGCCGAAAGACACACTTGGCACTTACTTGAGAAGTGCCAGGGATGTGGGATTTGGGAGGGATGTATTCGTGACACATGTGTTGATGGGAGAATGTGTGGCGATGTGGTCGTGTCTGCGGAGATTTACCACAGGTTTTCGTGGAGGCACTTGGGACCAAATAGGCCCATGAAGTGAGTGAAAGTACGTCGAATGTCCCAGTGTAAGCACTACTCTTAACTATCCTACTCTATGCCCCCAAATGCAGGAAGCAATACTGACAAAAACACCAAAGACATACTTGGCTATTTCTAGTCTATCAGCCGTCGTCAGCCAGCCATACCTAACCCTAGGTTTGCATAATCTGAGATGGAAACACGAACTGCCTCCTCAGGTGTGCATTAATTCGCCTAATTTTCTTCTGCAGAACAGACTTCATTAGTCTAGTGGGTCGGCGATTGTGCACACGGGTGAGGGAACATTTATCATCATGACTGGGGAAAACGGCGACAGATACTACACCCCATGCTGTCGACCAATAACAATGCGTCACGACAGGTTGAAGGGCAGACAGGCCACTACGGTGACGCTCATACCCGCCATAACTTCACACGTCTGACTCTGGCAGGGAACGTGAGGAAAATAAACATGCAAAACGTAAATTATTTCTTCCAAGTGTATTGTAAAGATCCTTTTCCAGCTGAAGATCACTCAGACTAGTAGGATTTTGGTCCTACCAGGACAAATTAAAGTCGTGCTTTTTTTCGCTGTTAGTGTCTAAACACGCCGACTCCAGAGCGTCATAAGGCGCCCCCGAATGCTGCGTCATATGTAACACGACTTATGCTGGCCATTCCTAGGTTCATGTCTGGGTAGTTTCTCCTCAGTTTATACTTACTATGGAACGGACGATGTACAGCGCGAGGCATTGGAGGAACGTCTTCATAATTCATGAACCGAGAGGCAAACAAGCCTGACGGCCGGCGGTTACCCGCGATTCCTGGGTTCGAGCACGGACCTCTAGAAGTACCAGGAAGACTTGGTGTCAGGACCGCGGCGGAGGGTAGTGGTGGTGACGTCTTATTGGGTGGTCGGTAATAAAAGTCACGGTTTATTACCAAATTTTGATAACCGCAGGGAATAAAAGTTATTGCATCTTCCGCCTATTGACTGTTGAAATTTCATCTAGATAAGCATGCAATATAAAGCTTATGTTGAAAATGTACAGAAACATTAACCGTGTCTCGAGGTATACAACCGTGATAGGAGGAGTTTGCGGACGGTCTTTTCAGAAATGGTTAACGTAAATTTCGGATACAGAACGAATGCTGGCACAACAAGCAGTATTGAAGGTCGTGCAAGATAATGGTCTGTAGATGACATGACGACTGTGTAGAAGCCGATGTGCGACAACAAAGATGACGGCAAGGGTATGGTATGTCAGCTACAAACCTAACACCAACCATGGTCATGCCTTCAGTGAGAAATCTCTAACCTGCAAGCATTTAAGAGGAAGTCGGACGTAACCGCAGCCACAAGCCAAGCCCTAAGACCTCAACTCTAGCCTCCGTCCCGAATTCAAACCATAGCCTAAAGCCTGGAAACCCTATTCCCAATAATTACCCAACTAACGCCAATTTTAACCGTTGTCTAAACGCTAACCTTAATCTCCAAACGGACATTTTTAATATCGATAATACTATTGGAGGTCAAAACATGCTTCCTGCATAACCACTTTCGCTACCTACTCCCAGACAGATCGTTATGATGCACACCAACCACCCAAGAGAGTTACATACCCTACCCTTACCAAGATTATGACAAAAATAACGCAATGAACAGGGTGTTTAACGAACTCCGAGAATGTTATAAAATATTATATCTTCTGCTGTGCGTGTGCACATATGGCACACCCTAAATGCAGGAGCAGAGGGAGGAAGCCATCTTCGTGAAACAATTATACATTTCCCGTCAAAACTCATCCAAACGCAATGGCCACAATGACTGGCCGAGGTACAGGATGCAAAAACGTGAAAATATTTCAGATTGGCATGGCTGGCATGGATACGATCAATAAATAGCTTCACGAGTATTTACAGTCTCCGAACCTAATGTATCTTTGTGGGTTTGAAGGAGTTTTCAGTCGAGTGTCCGCAAGCTGTCATGTGGATATTGGCGAAATTACGTTTACTGGTCGTGGACGGTTTCATGGAGTTTCGTTTCATACGCGGACATCTATCTCTGCGAATATTTGCCTCATTTTTGCAAGACACACAGTGAACGTCGCCGTAGACGGCGTTCGAATTGTCATGTGTTCCCTGCTAGTTAAATCTTGTAACCCAACCTAAATAAACCTCCAATCTGAAGGTCTTTAAGGCGTTTCGGCGTATGTCTTTAAAATAGGCTGGGGTGGAGGATATCTTGCCTGTGGAATGGACGCATTGATTCGGTAGTAGAACTTGAATGAGGCATGAAACACCAATGATAGAGAGGAACACGAAGGCGATGCGTCTTAAAGGGAGATTATTAGCCTTTAACTTAACATATACAACGGGACATAAGGGACAAAAAGCGATAGAATGCGGGCATTGAACATATTTACATTAAGGATTAAAAGAGAGCGTTCTTTCTTTCCGTCCAGATGAGAGCCCGCACGGAGAACGCGAACCCTTCTTGCCACGCCGTGCTTCAAAAACCCGTCTAAGATGTGACGTGGTGGAAAACGGTGGCGCAGGCGACTTGATGGAGATTCTTAACCCGTTGTTCCTGGTTTTACAGATGGGCGTCGACGGCTGCTACAGGAGATGAAAGTTCAGGAACTGCACCGAAAATACATTAGAGAAGTTGGTAAGATGTGGTTGTGCAACCGCACCTGATAATGTTAGGGTCCAGGGTTAGGGGTTGGGGTTAAGGTTGAGGTTAAAGGGTAAGGGTTAATGCTAATTGTAAGAGATTAGGGTTAGAAAGTTAGGGGCAAAGGATTAGGGTTAAGGAGTTACGGCTTAGGACTAGGGGTCAGGGTTAGGGGTTAAGGTTAAGGGTAGTGTTAGAGTTTCGGGTCAGGGATGAGGATCAGGGGCTAGAGTTAGGGGTCATGGTTAGGGTTAGGGGCTTGGGCAACTATTTCTCGACCACTCAAAGTACAACCGCACATTCCCAATAGTTTTTCTTTCGCCTACAATTACCTGACCTCGTCGCCTGCGCGTTCCCCGGCCTCACCTGCGAAAACCCCTATTACCACCGGTCCCGTACTAAATGTGGCTGAGGTTTGTTTACCTCAAGTGAGGCTACATAACCACATCTGACCGAAAAGTCTTTATGGGTGGCGGGCCTCAATCACAACGTTGTTATACCTACATGGCGGTCGTAGTTCTGAAATGATGTGCAGCTCTGGGTGCTTGAAGCTAGATCAAGGATGTTTGCCCACTTAGACTTTCGTAGCAATCGGTAATTTCGTGGCATTTTATATCTCCCTATTGAAGCAGTCGTTGTTAGAATCATCTCGCACTTCCAACATAGAATAGTCCGAATCAAGAGTTTAGGTCCTGACTTCAGAAAAAGTAGAAGATCTTGAGGGTTATGTTCAAAATATTAATGAATTTCAGAAGTGCACGATGTCAATCTTGAGTGTACTGGTGGGTCGTAGCTTCTTAAAAGTCAACTTTCTTGCAATCAGCAGTACATTAACAACAACTCTAAAATTTCTTTTGAAACATAATCAACCCCCAGTGTGAAATTCCATATCCAACATCAATGCTCAGATTTATCCTCTGCCCGCATGCTCTGAGTTACAAATCCTTTTTTTTCTTCTTCTTGTGCATTAACACTAATCCCCAAAAGTTGTCAATGAACCAAGCCAGCGCGGTCCAAATGCTGTGCATCCCATTACATACGTCCTCACCAAACCCCACGGCGTTCAACACCCCCACCGCTGATCATACTCCCGCTGCGCAGTTGCCGTCGATCACCGCAACCTCATTCATCCTCACGATGGCGACGGCGGCGACGAATAGCACTACTCCCACCACCATCACCACGACCACCTCCAGTGGGGGTAGTTTCGATGCCCTGAAGGCCCCCGTTCGCCTACCAGCAATGCGTACTCGCTCCGAACTTATTTGGGTTGCAATTGCACCTTTACGGCAATCATCGTCCTGGTCGGTCACTAACGAATTCATCGTCCTGAGACTGATTAAACAGGGCCAGGATCTCCGACGTAGGCTAGCAGAACCCGCCTCCATTGGCCACATTATTCACACACATTCACTTGCCCTATCGGCCTTTTACGAACGCGTGGACATCCAGGAGTGCAGAATTCACCGAAATGGCAACACACCATACATCTAACAAGTACATCCTTCTTTACGAATGCTTCCAGGGATTCGCCTCTTTGCTTCTATTGGTTAATAGCAATTTCCCGACCACCAGAACATCTAGCTCTGACGGCATCACTGCAAATGACTCAGGAACACCCACAGTGTCACCGCAACCTCACACATATATTAGGTAGGTTAAATCATGAAATGTCAACCGGCATTCCGAGATTTTTTTCCTTTCGAAAAGATTAATTAAATAGTGTCGTAAAACATATCATCTTGCAGCATAATTCTATGATAATTCAGTTACCTCGGGATGTCGGTTTTCGAAACATCTTACCGGCCGCATGCAAAAACCACACCCTGAAAAAATTACTACTTAAGTAGCATGTATTTTTATCATTGATGTTCGGCGTCCTTAAAAATTCAGTAATATTTTACAGAAAACATGCATACAAATATTCTTTCTTTTGTTCATTCGTTAGAACATTACGTCTTCTTCCAATTTTATGCCTTAAGGAAGGATATAATTCGGTTTTAAAAAGGGTTTCTAATTGTAAGATTTTCTAATGCCGTGAAATGACTGTTCTTAAAACGTCATGTCTCTGCAATGACTAACGTGGCTTGTAAAGTTAACAATATGGCTCCAATCCACTGCTAAATTTTATGAATTTCATATAGTCTCCTCTTAATACCGTAGAGAAATGCATGGTTTCCTGTACCCGGAAAATATACGACCTGTAGTTTGGAGACCTTGAATGCAAGTCTAACGGCAGATCGGGGTTCAAAATTATTCAGGAATTGGAAAAGGTTTGGGAACAAAATTCTTCTCTTCTTTCGAGTATAAAATTGAATGAAGACGTAATTTACTACCGAATGAGCGAAAGAAAGAATATTTTCAGGCATGTTTTCCATGAACTATAACTGAATTTTTAAGGGCATCGAAAATCAATGAGAAAAATACATGTTACGTAAGCTCCTGTCCCACAGGAGCAAGCGAAGGCGTAGATGTCTGAAAGGACACTCCTCCTCTACCTTCAAGGCAATGAAATGCAGTGCTTGAGAAAACGAGTATTAACTTGGCGGCTGGGTAGGTGGGCGCGATAGCAGAGTCTAGGCGAGAGTGCGAAATGTCGCTGGCCGGATCTCCACGAAATGGCACTGTCCGTATTAGGTGGACATTACCACTTTGCGTTCTGGACAAACTTATCAGAAAAGCTATGCTTCGTAGGCGATCTCGGTCTCCAGCCTCTCTGCTTCTATTGGCTTATAGCAATTTCCCGGCCACTAGCACAGCTGGCTCTGACAGCATCACTGCAAATGACTCAGAAACACCCATGGTGTCATCGCAGCCCCACACATACAGTATGTGGGCTAACTCATGAAATGTCAACCGAAATTCCTAAATGTGCTTTCGTTTCGAAAAGATTAATTAAGCAGGGTTGTAAAATATATCACCTTGCAGCATAATTCTATAATCATTCAGTTACCTCAGGATGCTGGCTTTCGAAACAACCTCTTTCCGGCCGCAAGCAAAAACCACACCCTGAAAAAAATGACCACTTACGTAGCATGCATTTTTATTATTGATGTTCGGCGCCCTTAAAAATTCAATAATATTTCATAGAAAAAATGCGTAAACATATTCTTTCTTTTATTCACTCGTAAGAACGTTACGTTTTCTTCCAATGTTATACTTTAAGGAAGGTTGAAATTCGGTTTTGAAAAAAGGTTTCTAATTGTGAGACTTTTTAATACCGCGAAACGACCGTTCATAAAACGCCATTTCTCTACATTCACTAATGTGGTTTGTAAAGTTAACAATATGGCTCAAATCCACTGCTAAATTTTATAAATTCCATATGGTCTCCTCTTAATGCGGTAGAGAAATGCATGGTTTTCTGTACGTGGAAAATGTACGACTTGTAGTTTGGAAATCTTAAATGCAATTTTAACGGCAGATCGGGATTCAAAATTATTCAGGAATTGGAAAACCAAATTTTCTTCTTCTTTCGAGTATAAAATTGGAAGAAGACGTAATTTGCTACCGAATGAGCAAAAAAAGAATATTTTAGGCATGTTTTCTATGAACCATAATTGAATTTTTAAGGGCGTCGAACATAAACAAGAAAAATCCATTCTACATAAACAGTCATTCTTTTGCAGACTATAGTTCTTGCATGCAGAAGATAAGAAGTTCTTTCGAAAGCCAGCCTCCTGCGGTAACTGAATTATTATAGAATTTTGCTGTATGATGGTTAGATTTAAAACCCTACTTAATTAGTCTTTTTGAAACGCGAACGCAGTTTGGAATTTCGGTTGATTTGGCCCACCCACTGTAAACGCCCACGGAAGTGGTCACAGCTAGAGGAACAAATCTCACGATTAGAAACTTTTTGAAAATTGAATTACACCCTTCTTTGAGTATAAAATTGAAAGGAGACGTAACGTTCTACCGAATAAGCAAACTGATGAATACTTTGTACGTTTTTTCGTACGCAAAAACTATACGGCTTTTAGTTTGGGAACCCTGAATGCAGGTGTAAGGGCTAGTCGGGTTCGAAATTATATGGGAATCGGAAAAGTCACGGCTGACAGGAGAATGAATATTTAACGCATGTTTTCCATGAAATATAATTGAATTTTTAAGGACATCGAAAATCAATGATAAAAGTTCATGCTGCATACTTAGTCATTTTTTACAAAGTATCGTTTTTGCATGCAGCTACAAAGAAGTTCATTCGAAAGACGGCATCCTGTGGGAACTGAATTATTGTAGAATTATGCAGCATGATGATAAATTTTACAACCCCACTTAATTAAACTTTTCGAAACGAGAACGCATTTCGAGTCATTTTGGGCTGATAGCGGACTTGTGCAGCATCCATCGCACTCTCTCCCCCTCTTCCGCCTCCTTTTCCCTCAACTGGATCCACTGTCAAGGCAGACTAAAGCAGATTGGAGACAGGAGAGGGCGCAACCTACAGTCACAGCAAAACCCGCACCTAGGCGCGCCACCACATCCCTGGTCTAAAATGTACTTTGGCTAGAATTTGAAACCGCAAGAACAAAAGGAGCAGCCCGGATACCCGTGGGTGCGACGAAAGTCTGTCGCCACACTACCCGGTGCCAGCATTTATTGTGAGTGCGCACTTCTGATAACGCCTGTCGAATTCCGATCCCGATCCCAGTTGTTAGTCCAGCCCTGCTATCGCGGGACGAACCAGTGTCAGGAGCACTAACATAAAACCTCGCTACCGCCTCAGCTATCCGCGTGTATTTAAATGTCGCAGGGGTCTGGACGATCACATGCGCCCCCACGCTAATCTGATGTAAACCATTGCAAACCAAAGTCCGCCACCGCACGCATCCCGCACGAGCACTTCTCACATCATTCATCAGGGGTTCGAAACAAGTACTTTCCAATTCAGTGGAAAACGTCATTCCCAGCTCATCGACTCCGTCTCCACGTGGTTTCCCTGTCACTCTGTCACAAATGCGAAAACCGACAAGCCCAATCATCTTGTGTGAAATGTTCAGGTTTTTTCCGATCCTGCTCACGTAAACATTGAAAAGCCCAGAAAGCATAATATTCTCGCATCCACTTGGATAGGCGCCAGTATAGCCTGTCCCATAGGAGCAAGCGAAGGCGTTGATGTCCACTAAAGAGGTCCGTCCTTCTCCTCAAGGCAGTGAAGTGGAGTGCTTGAGAAAATGAGTTTTAACTTGGCGGCTGGGTAGGTGTGCGCGATAGCAGAGTCTAGGCGAAGCTGCACTGTGGCAAATGGTTTCTTCTTCTCAGCCGTTGGCACATCCGTATTTGGTGCACATTGCCACACATATTTCAGGACAAACTTATTAGGGAAAGCCATTTTCCGTAGAGTATATCGCACAAAGGCTATCTCAGCCTCCAGCGTATCCGGAGTGCACATTCTCCTAGCTCCGTTCGTCAGGCAGTAGACTACGTTTCGTGTTTGACTTGGCAGTACAAAACTGTAGAAATTCATGTATTACCCTTTCCATGTTTCCTAGTGAAATACACTCTCACGAATTTTTTCATCTGGACGTCCAGAAAGGGAAGGCACTCCCCTTCACTTTTTCTGAATTAAATGTTATCGGTTTGTCAGCCTGATTCACTTTATCCAGGAGGACATCTAAATCAAAACATATGTGACGATGTTGTTAGGCTGGATTTTCCAATATTCATGACGGTCGTAGACCGAAGAGAACTGCCCTTTCATGCGCGTTGTATGTCTGATGTAGATTCAGTGGCCAATTTTACCGCCGGATCGACGGCGTAATGATGTGATCACCTCTTAGACCTCCTTCCAGCTGAAGTCTACATGGGTAAACTGGAGAATATCCAGATCTGACTACTTATAAAGGTAATTGGATTCTATGCTAAACATTTCTTATAAAACAGGATAGGACACTTGATTTCGGCCCAACAGTTATTGTTCCCTGGTTGTATTAACTTCCGCATCGGGTTTGATCCTGCAACCCAACGGGAATGGTGATAGTAGGGGTTTTATGGGTGGGTCCTTATGACAGGCCAAGGGAAATGCGGAACTGTGGGAATGCAAAGGGAGTCATATTGGAGCAAACGAAGGTGACATTTGAATGCATAATATAAAAATAAAAAGATGTGTGTAGAACAGTTTGCGGAACACTCTGGTGTGCGGAAAGGGACTAAATGTAACAGGATAGCTATCAACCAATAGGGGGTAGGACTGCACTGCAACGCCGCTCCGCAAAGTGTTCAAAGACAATGA